GGCGAATGCAGCATGCTCATCAGCCAGTGAGGCCTCCTAGCTCCATCACGACTCCACTGAAGCCCCGTTCTCACTGGTCAAAAATCCACTAACACCCACTTACAACTGGCTTTTGTCTTTAGTGGGTAAAATGCCAATCAGCATTCATTCACAAAGTCCCAGGAAAAAGGACTCTCAAGTAGTTATGGGTATTTTTTGGCTTAACAGTTATGGAAATATGTCACCCATCTGGACGTGACGCAATGCCACAAATTCCATCCAACAATCAATCAATTATCACAATATTTTTGACCAAACACCTTGTTATCAATGCTGTTGGGTTGACTATTCAAATATTTGGGCTTGCACAATGAGATTTTTGGATAATCATCAGTAATGTGGATGTAATGAATAATGTAATGAGTGGGTAAAGTAAAATAAAGAGAAGCTATAAAAAGCAGACAGGTCAACACGTAAATTCAGAAAATTACATTACTTTACTGTAATGCAGCATCTAAAACCAGGAAAATTTTTTCGATATAATGACATCCAAAATCTATGACGATATCTAGTATCATATCACAGTATTGATATAATATCGATATATTGCCCAGCCATAGCTGGAGCAATGTTCGAAATTGGTCAGCATCAAGTTTGAAAGAGAATCTGAATAGGCAAAAGATATAAGAAGATCTTCTGTTAACCAGCCCTTTTTTCTGAGGCATTCATGATGTTGAACATGACAAGGCATACTTGTCGACGGTCTACTGGCAATGGGAGAGGAGTCTATAGCCTATTTCTAGCAGGTTTTCCCACATTTAAAAACCTGCACAGTAGTGTGATAAACACTCTGTTGTATGTTTTTCACAAATCCAGTGGCCTTCCCTACAACACTGCAATGGGTGGGCTGATTCACCAGAGTAGATTTGTTCCACATTCCACATTCAAAATGAAAACTTGACTCCATCTGCTAAATACAATGCCCCCCTCATTTATCATAAATGAACCATAAACAAGGCCAAACATTCCTGCCTCTAAAAGCTCACACACAATCCTTATTGATCTCTGAGCTGCAGCCGTGCAGCTCCCCACTTCCTGGCTGATGTGTTGCTGGGGCGACAGCTAAATTATGCAACAGCGCTGGCTCAACAGACAGGCTTCATTGCTTGAGCAGCAGAAGCAGAGCTCATGGGTGGCAAATGATGGCGAGGCTCGGCAGTAACAGATGCCCAGTTACCCCCGGAAACCAGATTTGGACCACTGTGGTCTGTTTGCCCTTGTTGGCCTCCACCTTTTCGTGTCCAATGTATCCCTCACCCAAGTTGGAGGAAATATGTGCCTTATTCTGTTGTGCCAAGGCAAATGAAAGCACTGTGTCTGCACTGATTTACTTAATCTGAAATGATCAAACAAATACATTTCCCATTTTAACCTGGTTTACAGCCTATCCAGATTGAAAATTTATCTGATCTGACCCAAATGACTAATCTTATCAGGCTGCAGGGGGTTACTATCCAGCCTCTTGTAAATGAGCCTGCTAAATGTGTTACCTTGTGCAATCAAAATTTACTAAGCTAACATTCTTGACTGTTAGTCTAGGGCTGTATCCAACTTAGAATTATGTCAGTCAAATTGGATTTGGCTGCTCAATACGAATATTCGACTATTCATTCCTTTTTAAACCATATAGTGTGTGTGTGGTGGAGGTTTGACGGAATATTGAGAGTGACTGATGTTCACGTGATACTAAACAAGCCAAGTTATCCCTCTGAGCTAACGTGCGTTAACTACGCTATCGTCGGATTGGAAATGTGCAACAACATTTTTTTTCTGATACTAAATATCAAACAAACGCAAGAAAGTGTATCCAGAGGATGACATTGTCTTGAAGCCTGACAAGGTAAAATCTCTCTTCCTCTGAGCAGCTGCCTCCGTCTCACTTAGACTCACCCTGGGTCTCGGTCCGCAGCTGCCTGTACTCTAGAGCAATGTGAAGGTGAAGAGCGCTCACCCTGCACCCTGCATGTGGGGACCGAAACATCCCCAGGAGGACACTGACAAAAACAAAAAATATTTTAGGAGATTGAGAAGCCTCCAACTGATGATTCGAATCTGACTTTCAGGGGGCAGCCCTGTGTTCATGTGACATCATGAAAAAGAGACCTAATTGTGCAAACAGGAATTAATTCTAATATAATATTCTTCATTGCATCATTGGCATATCATTACACAAGAGCACTAATGCCCCAGTTAGAAACAATTACAACGTGGCAGCCAATCTGTTAACTTGATGCCTAATTTCATGTGTGGCAAGCACTCCTGTAACTTATTATTCAGCCCTGTGATGTGATGAGAAAAGTACTCATACTGGTTTCTGTGTCTTGTAGCCTAGTCATTACTCTCCCTCTGTGATCACAGCAATGTAGACATGCTCTGCTTATTGCCTCCGCTTTGTCTCACTGGTCAGACGACCGAGTTGCACAGGGACAAAGAGCATGTGAACATTAAACTTGTAAACCTATGAAACAAAAGCCACTGCACTCACACGCCACCTGTGGCACACCTCTCAGTAAAGACATCCAGCCGATCCAACTGAAGCTCTGTCACCACCAATATAGTGGGACACAAGACACAATCTGTGTTCTGCAGGCATGATTAAAACTATTAATCACAGAGGGATTATCACAAGGAGTGGAGGGGTCTATGGACATGTGTGTGTATGTGAGCAGGAGGGGTGGGGGGTGGATTACAGGGGTCATGCAGCCTCTGTCCCACTGCGGTGGAGGCCAAAGTGCTGAGGCCGGTCGGCTGTCCACCCTGGCTCTCTCTCCACGCGACGCCTTTGTCCATCCCCTTGTTTAACAATTATTTACTCTGCTGTTTGGGACAGGGCTGAGGTCACCACACATACATCACTGACACAAAAACACTGGCTACCCACTTCTGTCCACCCCCATCTGACCTGTATAGACCCTCACCACTCATATACACTCAACACACTTAGGAGTACAGGACTACAAGACAGACGAATCAAATGGTTGTCAGTCAAATTTTGCTGCTGGCGTCTTACATACAACAGAACATTACCTTAATACTACAGGGATATGCCCTGGTTGTTTGTTCTTATTCTGTAGTATGTCACTCACTCATTGTTTAGGAGCTATGTCTAGACTTTGCAATCATCACCTTTGGTTACTTGAAATGTTGATGAACTAGCAAATGATCCTGTTCTGTTTGTCTTTCCGTAAGCTGCTCTGCATGAAATCCGGAGCCAAACACTTTACATACGGTCTGCTATGGCTTAAGCTGATAGCAGTATCTCTGTCAAAATGGTCACAACATTCAGACAGGGTGCTTCGAGTAAAAGCCTCCACCCAATGTGACTGGCTAGATGAAATGTAAATGTTAATGTAAATGGCCTTCTGTACATTTGTCTGTTCTTGCTAGCTATCACATCTCTCCTACGTCACTGCTTTTAGAACACAATAAATGTGCTCCCTACATTATTATAGGGGGAGTCGGTATTTGTGGCATCTGCCAGGCTTGACTCTGGCCTCTCGAAGACAATGACATCAAAAAAAAAAAAAAAAAAAAAAAAAAACTGTTCCCTGCCTCAACTGTCCCCCTCCCCCTACAGCGGTGCAACCTGAAACTGCCTGAAGAGATGAGCCGTCATTAAATACTGCAGAGCTGACATAATGACAGGAAAGATAAAAGAGAGGAAACAAAAAAAAGGCTAGACCAATTCTCGTCCCATAATGCCTCCCCCAACCCCCAGGCTCAGCCCACCTCTCCTAATAAAAGACACTGGGCTGCAGATAGGGCACTGGTCAGCTACAACTTTGCTGCTGTGATCTTCTGTTCTGACAACGTTGACACAAAGCCTGGCCATCCGCCAGTATACTATTTCATTCGATATTAATATTCAAGCGATATTTCTAATCATCTCCCACAGATCCCTGTGGAGGCAGAGGTGTTTGTTAGCTGATATACAATACTATGAAAAAACACTGCTCCTCCCCCAACCTTTATACTACTGCCTTCCCTAAATTTGGCAATGTGGTCTAGAGAAGCACCATTCAAAGACATTTGCCTTTAAATAGACAGTAATAAAATCCAGACACATGATAGTCCAGCACCCTCAGCCCACTGATCAAGCTCAGATATGTCCTCTGACACTGCCCACTCTTGTGCAACTAAGGCTTTTTATATCACTCACATGCTGCTGAGCTCTCTTGAACCTGCTATGTCCCAAGCTATGATGCTAAACCACATGTAGCTCGGCTTGGTTCCCAGTTGGCATTCCAGTGTTTTGTAACACTGTGCTGAGGCAATATTTACCTCCAAGGGAAAGTGCACTTGGCACACAGCCGAAACTCTTGGGGTAAGGGGGGGGGGGGGGGGGGGGGGGGGGGGTGACAGGTTGCTACTGTGTACTACATCCAAACTTCCCACCCACCCAAAATCCTCGTGCTGACCCAGCCAACCACCCACAGCCTCACAGCGGCAGTCCTGCCCTGGCTGACTCCGCCACCTGGATCAGAGCCAAACCAGAGCCTGAGCAAGCGCCAAGAGGGACAGAGAACGAGAGAGTTAGACACACACACACACACACAGAATGTGAGCGCAGAGGGAGAGAACTAGTGAGTGTGAACACATTGCGCCCCAGCCTGGCCCTCTGCCAGGACTCACTTAGGAGGATTTTTAGCCACAAAAGCCAATTGGCGGTCAACCATCCACAGAGATTTGAAGTGTCTCACAAAGATACAGCTGGAGAGATTTGTCCAACAATCAAGATTAAGCAGTTGCTCACAGCAGGGGGCTGGACTGAGAAATCAAACAGAACACAGAGAGTGGTAAACTGAACAGTGCAAGGCTTTACTCCTTTGGTTACAATGACGAGTGTTTTGATTACTCAGCTCAATGCTGACTCACTACTTTGTATGGGAAAAGAGACCAAATGATACCAATTGATATTAGAGAGGAAATGGTGTGGCAAGGAGCCAAAGCAGGGCACTGACCTGTCTGAAGTGATCATCGAAGCCCCAGTCAGCCTGTCCATTAGGAGAGGTAGCAGAGTGAGGCCCTGCAGGAGACAGGCCCTCATCAGGTTCCTGCTTCACTCTGATAGGTGGGGATGCAGCCCTCTGGGGGGCTGACGCAGAGTAACTGCCAAACGGACGGGCCTGGATGCGGGAGGCGCTCTGCTGCAAAGCGAGGGTCTGCTTACGGAGGAACTCCAGACCACTGGCACTCCCCTCGTCCTCATCACTTCCCTCGTCCCCCTCCATCATTTCATTGTCGTCGTCCTCATCCCCAGAATCACGGCCTCTGTCCTCGTCATCCTCTCTTTCTGAGTCCACACTGCTCTGATTGGAGACCCGGGGAGGCAACACAGCACTAGGGACCCCACCAGCCAGGCCTTTGCCCATGAAGCTGGCCCCAGAAGCCCGGGCAGCCGCTAGGATGGCCTGCTGTGCAGCAACCTGCTGAGCATACATGATATGGGCCTCTCGCAGCTTCCTCTCCTTGCGCTCCATTTCCAGTCGGGCCTGCTGCTGGCGCTGGAGCTGCTCCATTACAGCCTCCAGCTTCATACCCCCTGTCGAGGTGCTCTGAGGAAAGGCCACACCAGGATCCTGAGACATGCTGGGCTGTGGGAGGAAGAGAGGGAGTCATGGATGACCTACCATATACTAAAATCAAATTACCCTTTTATCTCATTATACGGGATGAAATGAGACACGGGTAAGGCACATGCACCCACACACACTGCCACACACAAAAATCAAAGCTAAAATGAAGACGAAGGAGCCTGATATGTACACAGATAATCCAACCATGTAGTTTTCATAGGGTTCATGTAGTAAAAACTTGCTACACTGTAACTCTTTGCTTCCCCTTAGTTTAAGTTTTAACTAAACTCCTGAGCTACGTACCACTGAGACAAAAGCTGGAAAATCTTCAGCATCACAATAATACATCTGAACTGTATTTGCTGATCAAACATGTATACTACATGGTGGCTCAGGTTGTGAACTTTGACATCTAAATTCAAAGACCTGAGCATATGCAGAGGTAGAAACAATGAGGCAGGAAAATTCACCAACACTAGCTGCAACTACAATAAAGTACAATAAGGCATAATACAAAGTAAAGCCAGGCCAAACCTTTGGAAAAATTGACTCAAACATTCATAAAGGACATTTTTAAGTATGAAATGAGTTCACATAGAGACCACACAGCTAAACGTCAACCACGACGTTTCTCCCCAGTAAAGGAAACGTGTAAATGTGTTTTTCACTGTCAATATTACTTTGACTACTTTTACAGTAACGTTAATAGGAGTAGTACAGTGATTTCTCATATCCTATTAAGCGTTTAATCGCCTTTATCAAAGTAAGCAGTTGATAACTGGCCCAAACTTTTACATTTTTACAAAGCACAGTAAAATGGTTATTCATAAAGCTAACTAGTGTTCCAACTAGCTTGTTAACCCGGGAGGGAGATAAACTTCTTACAAACAGCCGCCAGCAGAAACTTCAGTGTTATATGAAAATGAGGGCAAACTGAAGTCTAGACGTTTTAATAAAGCCAAACGAGCACCAAAGTAAAAACAAAATCTGTCAGAACTGTTTTAAAAAGTCCACCTTTTCCGCATTTATAGTTGGCTAGCTGCCACATCCTCAAAATGCGTGGATAACGTAACGCGTAATGGGGTTTAGGATAAGTTAACGTTACCGTACAAACAAGACTGAAACTAGCCTATTAGCGCGAGGCACTTCTTTCTAAAACATGTACTACAGTGTTGTCGTAAGATTTTGAATATGTTTTTAAAGTAACCTACCATAGGGTCAAGTTAGCTCTGAAAGTTTGTCTTCTTTTTCCTTTGAAAAATGTCACGTTTAGCCAGCTAACTCTTTCCGTAAATACGGCGGCCGAGCAGCGTCTGTCCGAGGTTTGTTTTTTTTTAAAGCTTGCTACAATTCAAAGAAACGCACACCGAACAAGGACCACGACTCACCATTTGTGCCTTACTACTGCTTGAATTGTCCACCATCCCTCCTTCCTTGGCTTTATCGTCCTTCCCTCGTTTGTGGCACTCGCTCAAACACTTGTAAACACACACACGCGCGCGCACGGGGGCAGAGATACTGTGCATGCACCGTAGATACCGACTGATCCGCCAGCAGTAAGGAAAGGCGCTATGTGCTCTCCTCTGGACGACCTCTCCAAAAATGTACCTGTGTCCCTATCTTTCTTTCCCCTGTGATATTCGTGATTTTCTTCTTTAATAGAAAAGGGGACCGAGTGGAAAACAGCCCGATCTCATATCTCGCAGAGCGCTGAGGTAACTCCCTTCAGTCGGTTTTTTTCCTCCCCTTCAATTGACACCCCCCGCATGGTAGACAACAGCATTTAGGCCCGCCCAGCCACAGCAACAAGTCTCACAGCCTTTTCAGCTCCATGACACTCTCATTAAGTAGTTTTACATGTAATTTATTCATATGCATACCTTTATATGCATAATAAAGGATTTTGTAGTCTGAATACAACGACATGTAGATACGCATGTGCAAGCAGGAGTAGCAGAGGTTAATCTTTATAAATAAAAAAACATGAAGCAAAAGTATATTCAAAGCTTTCAAACTGCCAACTAGTCATATAGTGTCAAACATATATACCAAATATACATTTATAATCGACATGGATGCTATCAATGAAAATATAAATATATTAACACCAAATGGAGACTGGTCCCTCGCGAACAAGTTGGACATGGCTTGTTTACAGCTCTCTCTGCTACATAACATGACAGTGATTGTAATGCAATGTTTAAATGGACTACAAACACCTCTTTGTGAGGGGCCTAGTAGTGAAGTGCAGTAGGTGTTGCATTGAGGCTGCAGCACAGCTCCATGCTGCCTCCCTGTGGAAACAACAACTACCATGTTCATAAAGGTTGGCGCTTTATATCATCCACCATCTGTAGTATATTTAGATCCCATAATTATAGAAGAGACATTTCTTGGAATTGTGTCCATTTCCCAAAAGTCTAAACACAAATCCATAACTCCACACTCATCTTCACGAACTTCAGACTTCAATGTCAAAACCAAATTCTTCACTCAAAAGCATGTAATCTTACACAGTGGCGTAAGGTAGTTACAGTGGGCCCCAATGCACGCTATTTTGATGGGCCCTATGCACCCTAGGTACTAGTTATGAAACACACACACACACACACACACACACACACACACACAGTTTTAGGTGTATATATATATATATTTAATCAACAGTGTGTCTTACTGCCGCTTTTATATGTGCCCAGTTTGTCAATCTTGAGAGATTTTGCACCTTAACTAGTATGGTCTCATTACACGATCAAACAGAGACTTGATATTGGACAATAGTCCTATAGTTTTTTTTTATAGTTTATGTAGCATAGGAATATCCTTTTCTAATAGACTGATACTATTTTACAAAAACAGAAAACCACGATTAAGATGGGTTTGCATTTTGAGGGCATAACCAACATAGAAAATTGTATCACTTTTGATGTAATGTGAGTTCTTTGAACAATTTATGTGTTATCTGTATGTGTCTGTTCAATTTGTGATTGTTATAACTACTTTTTGTGTGGTGTATTCTCCTGTTTAGGAGAGAAATACTATTTGTATTAGAATAGGTGGTTGGTTTTTACCATAAGCCCTTTGGGTTTCTTCCCTCTCCTGCACAATCCCTGCCATGTTTATTTGTTATATACTTACTTTTATGACATCTTGTGCACTAATAAAATTCCATTTCGCATTCAAACACAAGCATATTTCCAGGTGGCAACTGGGCCCCTCCAATCCACGACCCCAGTGCAACCACACTGCCTGCACTGTCTATTTTTATGCCCTTGATCTTCCATCTAATTTAAACTTTGCCCTCAGACAACACACACAAGCTATCAGAAACACACACTGCATGACTGTTTGTTACACACTGGAGGGATCAATATAAAACACTGCTACCAAAATGTTTAGAATAGGTTTTCAGAGAAATAATTTAGCATTTTTCAAAATCACAGCACTGACTAACTAGTTAACTCTCTGAGGAACAGCCCAATAAGAGAAATTTAAAACACTAGTGTAGCTCTCACAGTGGCAAAGGTACGCTGCTGACCTTTGCAATGTCACTGACAAAACATGAAAGGAGTCCATGCACAGTAGAAAAGAAAAAAAAAACAGATGCTTTACAGCAATTCCAATGCAGTAAATGTACAGACTACTCAGCAGCAGTATAAAAGAGGTGTTGGTTTACTGAATACCAGGCGTGTGACCTCAGTGGTGATGAATGAATGAACCCTTAGGTGCTGGCTTTATGGATGTGCAGTCTCCACAGTTTGTCCGCTAAGAACAGGAAGGATGGTGATGGGTAATAAATCCAGTTCACACACTGATTGACATGCCACTCATTTACTGTCGGTGGGTGAGAATATCCTCATGTGATGTGGTTAATTCTCATGGACGCACGGGACAATAAACCAGGTGAGGAACACTGTGAAATAGAGTCCAGAAAAATGCAGTCCGCTTCAAGTAAAGCCAGATGTAATTTGATGCCGTTGAGTTTTATAGATTGATGTAGGAGACTTGTGATTGGTGTACGGCCTGTTCATATAAACAGCAAGTGAGCTGAAAAGAGGGATGCCTTGGTGTAAACTGTTAAAGCCAGGATGACCTTCTGAACAATCAGCGTTCTCATCATCTGGTCTCTGGTCTGGATCAGGCCATAATGTGTCATCACCATCACACATTATGTTCGTTGTTGCCAGGTAGCGTGGGAAAAGCACCCTTGTGTGCCGTATCCAACCCTGGATAGACTCCACAGACACATCCCCACAGGCGTCCACCATTGGTGGAGATGTTGCTGCTCTCAGTTCATTGGAAGACAACCTGGTCTTCTACGAAGCATGTTTGAATTTCCCTCAAATGGATGGCATCACTGTTACTATAGTCACTACACTGACCAGGGATGAGCTGTAAGAAGTGTCAGCCTTCCTCCAACAGATGGTCACATCTCAGTTACTGATCTCTGGTCATCCACCACTATCTTAAATAGTTCCTCCTTTTCCTCTCAGTTGTCTTACAACTTCGGCTGGTCACATGGACATACCTCAGGTCCTATTTATTGACTTGTTTAATTCTGACTGGTGTGTTTTGAGGCTTAGTGTTAGCACCTGGAGAAAGGTGTGATATTTGAGTTTTGGCTGTGATGGCTTCACTTAATCATTTTGAGAGCATGTGTTTACCGTCTACCATCTTTCGGTAGATGGCATTATGGTTTGGGATGTTTAGTTTAAAGGCCCAGCTGTAGAGCATACTCCTTACACAAGAAATACCACAGAGGAAATGATTCTTCATAATTATAGTCAGTCTTACACATGAAAGTATAGATAATAGTTTTATTTTAATAATGTAAACCAATAAACAGTACAATCAAATAAAAAAGGAGTAGTGTTTACCATCATAAAATAACTAATTAAGTTATTGCATTGAGCACTCAATAACACTATATCATCACAATGTTGTATAACAAGCAGATTGTCCCAATAGTTGCATAGTACAGGTGAGTCAAGTGTACTTGCTACTGACCACTGGTGTTAAGTGCAATATTCGTGTACATAAAAACATCGTGCAGAGCCAGGGCCGGGGTCAATACACTTTGAATTTAGCTGTTAGATTTAAAGCATTTACCTCACACTGAGTGTAATAGTAGGATCAGCTTTTATTTCTACGTCACCCTTATTAGAACAATAGAGCGTTGGGAGGAGAAGGTGTAACATTTTCAGGGTGTGAATTTTAATGTGTGAACTAATCCCGACTCTGCAAAGTACAAATCAAGGTTTCTACTTTCTCCAGCACAGAATGTCATATTCTTCCCAGTCCTTTAATTCTTTACGGTGGTCAAATGGTCTGCTATACCATTCACTTATACGACTGAGAGTTACAACCAACATCACAGCATGAGAAATAACAGTGTGGTCTGCAGGTAGGTGAACAGCAGCCACACATGTATCCTTACTTAAAAACCTCTATGCACTTACACAGTTGTGCAATCTTCAGACTGTTTATTATACAAATGTGTGTGAAAGGCAAATTTCTTTCTAGTCTCACACTCATACACACAAACAAACAAACAAACAAAAAGAATCTCCTGAGAAAGTGATCACAGTCACTTGCTCTGATATTGAACATGTTTTTGTTAATGCACAGTTTTTAAAAAAAATGGTAAAAATATGACCCAGACGGTAACATAAGTGAGAAGATTTTAAGTGGAAAAAGAATAAAAATAAAAAGCACTGCCATTTTCAGCACGTCCGCGTCTATTGTGTAGAAAACAACAGACACATCATAACACAAACAAAAACATTATACCAACATATACTTTAAATCAATGTATGTAAATATAACAAATAACAAGGATAGATGAATGCCTTAATCCTTATGCAAATGCGGGTTGTTTTTAGCCTGTAACAACTTTTTTTTAGTGTCCCTAACAGTAAACTAATAAATAAATAAATAAAATTTAATATCACAAACCAAATAGTCGTCCATACACTGATGTGTCAAAGACCACACATTCCTTTTTAGCTTTCATAGCCGATGCTGGACAGGTTACTAATCCCAAACTCAACATATCCAAACAAAAGTAACTAACATAAATATGTATGTTTTGGGATTGAAATTAACTCAAATGTCTTCAGGTGAAAAGATAATTTTTCATTTTGTATTCAGTCTTTTTGTACCATCTTTTTTTAAAAGTGGAGACTATTAGTTTCTGGAATGAAACTTACTTCTACAATACAGGGATTATAAATCAAATGTGATTGGTTAATCTATCGAAGCGCTTCAGTAACTCATCTGCTTACATTTTATACCATACAGAGAAGTGTAACATTTTGTAAGAGTAGGTTATTACTCTTTCAAACAGTGGATAACTTTGTAGAACAACGTTTCATTATACTTTTCTCTCCGAGTATATCCTCTACAGGCAGAGGAGTGAATCCTTCTTGGTATGTAGCAGTTTGCTCAATGACAGCTTGTAAAATGTACTCAACTCTTGGTCCTCACAGACAAACAAAGAATATGGAAGGAGCTTAAGGTAATCCAGGGCCAGGCCTCTCAGCATTTCAGGTTTTTTGAGATAGCAGTATTTGCTGGGGAAAAATTAATATGCTGTTGAGAAGTTAAGTGGCTTCACTCATTCACCATACATCCCATTTCAATTTAGTGCTTCGTTTCATTTAAAAAAAAATGTAACTTCTTTTTGAAATATGTGTCATATTTTCCCCAAGTAGCGGCCATTTAATTTTGGAATAAAGTTCTATGTATTTTTGGAATGAAAGGTAATTTTTGACGACAGATACAGTAAAGAAAATCAAAAAACATTCAGGTAATGCAACAAGTTAGGGAATGTCAATGATCATGCGAGGTGCCTTCATATTGCAGTTAGTTAATAACTGGACAATTCAAACTCACCGAGAGCCAGAACATTAAGAGACAACACATCATATGTATGCATGTCGGCTTAGAGGGCGGCAGACCTGTTCATCAGAGCAGAAAAGACAATAACCATCTCCCCACTGGGTCAACGAGGACATATCCCAAATAATAAATGCCACCCTATTGGGAGCAGTGGCATTTCATCAAGTTCCATAAAAAGAAAAAAAGAAAATTAAAACTAGGTCAAGCTTTGGGGTCACAGTGAATAAGGCTTGTTCTTATGTCCATCCGTGTCCTCCTGTGGGTTGAGCGATCCCAGTGCATGTAGGCCTGCATGAACAGGAGTTTGGCTTCAGAGCTGAAAGTCCTCAGGCAGCACAGCAGTGGAGCTGGGTTAGAAAGACGGCCTCAGGCACCAGTGACCTAAGTCTGGGACAGGAACTGGTGCCAAGCCTTTGTTAAGGTTTGAGTCACGGCATCGGCATCACTGCATGGAGCAGGACGGGCCCTCGGAGCAGCAGCACACAGAGGAGCTCATGGCTTTGGGCGGAATCAGGTCCAGATCCTCATCATCAGGGATCTCATCCAGACGGTAGCCGTCCTGAAGCAGCTGTCTGCTTAAATCAGGATGGACCTAGAGAGCAAGGAGAACGACTTCACTAGCACATACATATCAGAGTAAGGTGGCTAGCCTGATAGACATCTCACTCATCGGTTAACAGGGACCTTTTCATACCACGTGACTGCTTATGCCTGCTGCTGTGAACCAAACTAAATAAATATTTTTAATGGATTAGCCACCTCTTCCCTGTGCAACTAAGCAAAATCAGATTACCTCAAAACACTGAGGACATTAAAGGAGTCAACAATAATATTATGCATGATTCTCTGTGGTCCTTAACTACATGTTTATGCTCTAATGTGCAGTCAGAACACGGTGTATAATGTGATATTCAAAAATGTGAACTTATCACCCAAATCCAGTCCCCTTCAAATACAGTATATAAATATTTTGCTAACTAATTCTAACTTTGAATTAAACTGTATGTTTTTATTTCTGTGATTGAAGTCCTAGTTACTTCACAACAATGCAAGAAAACCAGTAAGACTGAGCTCTGCTAAAACTCAGCACAAACAACCCTGGCTGCATATCTGAGATCAAGAAATAGCCAGAGGCTGTGAGACTGAAGAACAACAATGGTAAGGTCAAAAATAAAACATATCCTTTGCTCTCACATTTATGCATGCACAGGCAGTCAGTATATACTGTTCCTACAATGTGTATGAAAGCATGCCAACACAGACAAGATCTGGCCCTAATTCTAAATGTTTGATGTACCTGATATGTCAGTTGCTCTCATGATAACTCCCTGTATCTGACTTGTTTTGCATTACATTACATTTCGAGACAAACCTGTTCCTTTTGACACTGTGCCTGTTCACTGTTTGGCAAATGTGTAGAATTAAGTCATGTAGCCTACAAATAACACTGAAATATTTTTCCACTTTGTGCAGAAACTGGTGCTGACTTGACAAGCCAAAGCAATGTGTGAAAGACTGCACAGAAGTCACAAAGATGGAGGGACAAAATGGAAAAACGAAGACCACGTTTATAATAAAGCAAATGATCTTCTATTGGAATGGTCAAAAAACTGATTTTTATATAGTTATATAGACCATATAGTTATGGTCACACAGCAGGTTAGAGTGTTGGCTGACTTTCTGAAAGCATCTGAATAAGGTCTCGTGGGGCAAACTCACCTCAGCCGAAGAGTATCCTGAGGAATACTGCTCAAAATCGATCTCTTCATCACTGTAAGGACAAGTAGGACAGGTTCTGTCACTCTGATGCAAACAATTATGTGTGTGTCAAAATTCTAACTGACCTGGAGACATGATTTTATGCCTACAAGGCAAAACGATCGATTAAAAGGTCCAGTGTGCGGGATTTAGGGGAATATATTGGCAGCAATGGAATATAATTTAAAAAAGTATGTTTTCTTTAGTGTATAATCACCTGAAAATAAGAACTGTTGTGTTTTCGTTACCTTAGAATGAGCATTTTTATCTACATAGGGAGATTGGATCAGTGGAGATTGCCATGTTACACTGCCATGTTTCTACAGTAGCCCAAAATGGACAAACCAAACACTGGCTCTAGACAGGACCATTTGCATTTTTGCATCAGCCACCATGGTTGGCAGCCACTCTACAATCAGAGTGTTGGAGAAACAGATTTTTTTTAACATGAAACTGCTTTACCGGTTTAAATCACTGGTTCTGTTTGGTTTGTAGAGAAGACGATCTCTGCAGATAATTTCCCTCACAGTAAAAACCTCCTGAATGTCAGGATCACAAATAATGTGAGCAAGCATTAAATTACCAGAGAAAATAGGTGAGCACGCATTATAAGGTGCTGGGCTAACAGCCAGTCTGCCACTGATTTGTAACGTGACACTGCTTTATTCAGTGTTTTTACTGGTTTTAAACACCTGCTCTGTTTGTTCTGGAGAGAAAGAGAACCTCTGCAGATAATTCGCCTCCTGGCAAAAGCCTCCTGAACAATGAGCACTGACAAAATGCTAACCAGGAGAAGTTTCAGCTGATTGCAATACTGGTTGCTCCTTCTACAATCATCACCACTAGATGCCACTAAATCCCCCTAAATCTTACACACTGGAACTGCAAATGACACGAGTCATTCACCTGTTATCACATCTGATTACACACTTGAAGCTAGTTAAGCACTTTGCTTTTTGTAACATTCTTTGAAAGGAGAACCAAACCTAGGTGGGGCATATTCTGCTGATTCTCTCTTACTATCACCACAACTTCCCTGCATCTCTACAAACAGACCAAAGATCATTTTAAAACATGTGTGTAAGCTTATGAGAAAGACATCCTGGGAAACAAATGAAGAGAGTAGGCCACATGTAGTGGTTCTAGAAGAAAAATCAACTGTAGATTGCCTGTATGTTTTTCAGTGCTCAGTTTACTGCATGTAGTAGGAATTCAACAACACTATCACCTGTATCCCTGGTGTAACCTTACCTGTCTGAGTCCAGTGCAACCAAAGTGTCCTCAGCGTGCTGACTTAAAGCAGCGTAGCCCTTGTTATACTTCACCATCCTAAAAGAAGAACCAGAAACTGTAAGAAATGTCCAAAACAAACATCTCCCCCCGCTTTAAGCTGACATCACACAAAGCAGTTTCGTCTTTCCTCATCACACTTCCTCTTCTTACCTCTTGGCTCCTTGTCTGGGCTGATGCATCACCGGAGGTCCTGGTGACAGGGCTTTCTTCTTCAGTGCTTTCCTAGCCATCTCTCTGTGTTTCTCTGTGAATAATAAAGAGACATTTTTGTGGCAACCAGGACTGGCTGGATGAAGGTCAAAGCAAAGGACACATAAGAAGTTTCTTGTGCTAATAACACCGTATCTTTAAAATATTCTCTTATCTCAGTGTAGGACTTGAGGTTTATAAAGCTTCCTGTGCGCACACACACTCTAAGCAAGTGTAAGGTCTTTGAGAATGCCTGACATCACTGTTACGATAGTCAGACATATGGAATACAATTGATGAAGATGTTTTATAGTTTTAGCAGTTGGTGGAGATTCAACACATAACAGACTGATCAAGACAACAATTTGATTACGGAAAATACAATATCAAATTTAATAGCACTGGCACTGAACATAGACTCATGAGACCCAGTGGTAAGGAGACAGCATGGCCTTCTTATCCTGTATACATGATTCTCATATTTAAAGGTAACAGCAAAAAATATGACAAACTGGATTTAAATTGCTTTTTCTAATGGCTTACACCAGTTGAGTTCAATTTATTTTTCCACTGCGCTGTTATTGCTCGGTTCTCATGATCCAATGAAGCTTGTTGTTATTGTTAAACAAGACTTAAACTCTGTGTATTCCCACACTTGTTGGTGTGTGTGTGTGTGTGTGTGTGTGTGTGTGTGTGTGTGTGTGTGTGTGTGTGTGTGTGGCCATGTTGGTCCTATCAACTGCCTCTCAGTAGAAATATTAACAGGTTAAAACAGTTCTGCTAAACTTTGAAGGAGCAGGGAGAGCTAGGATGCCATTCCTAGCTTTGGAAAGTTGAAAATAAATCCTCTGCTGAAGTAAAAACAAATACACATCATTTAAGAATTATTTTTTGTAAAGACCTTTTTTTATACTTTGTGATGATGATGATAAATATAGGCCTAGAAGATTCAGTCAAGAGTGTTGTCTGCAAACTAGTGAAGTACAAGAGCTCTATCAAAAGTTGTTAATTCTTACATGTTTTATAATACAGGGAAAACAATAACCAAACAATTTCTTCTTTCCAATTAAACAAACTTTGTGTGTTTTGTAAAAATTTGTCTGTGTAATGCACATTAACGTACATGTGATGAAGCTGGGCTTAACAGGTGCCTCCCAAGAAATTAAAAGCCAAAACTCATTTATGTTTCGGGAATCCACCGCACAAACTCGGTACCACTACTTGTTACATTTCCTCTTCCTATTTACTGAGTGTGAACATATTTAAAACAGAGACCAAAGAGTCTGTGAAATTGGTCATGTGTCTTTTGCGATGTGTCCTTCCAATCTCACATGATAAATTCACATTATCTTCAGTTTACTGTGCATAAAACCCAACATCACCTCTTCTCTGTGTGGAAATCCTCCCTGTCCATGACATTTGCCTTGCCTTACTCAGGAATGCACTTCCACATAAAGTCCTTTTTGTTGATGCCAAATAAATACTGGACTTGGAATTCCCAGTCAGTCAGCAGAGCTAAGTGCAGAACTTTTGGTCACCGAGACCTTACAAACTCACAGTTAAGCAGACCGTTCTGATCTACCTAACATTAAGATAACAACACCTTAGATGTGATGAATGTTGGCAGTAAACAACTTAATGAATACAAACACACAGTCTGAGTGAAACTGCAGGCGACTTTGCTCATCGGTGTCACATAAGTCAAGCTCTGCTGACCTGCCAGCTGCACATCCAACAGTCTGATGTCCCACTTAGAGCTTTGTACAATAGTATGAACAGCTGAACTCATAAAAACAACCACTGTGAGAAGACTCCTGACCTACAGGCAGACATAATAACGGCATCAGTCATAATGAGTCAAGACATTCTTACGCAGTTTGAGGTGGATTGCTGAAGCTCTGGACATGATGTAAGGTCCTCTTTTCTCCACAGGCCTGATCCCTCCATCAGCAGACTTAGGTCTTGTGCCATTGCTGGGTCCCTGAAGTTGAAGAAATTAAGAAAAATCTGTATTTAATATTCATGTATAGCAACCAAGTGACGGAAAGGACAACAATATAATAACTAAATGGCAAATCATAATAGTTACATGACAATACATTTTAGTGATGTTTTTATGACACTCCAATGTGATTCAAATATAATATTCATGAAACAAATTTGTTTGTGTATGTCTCTTGTCGAGTAAATAATTCTGATCTATTTCTAAGTCAGATTAAGTCTGTCTCCAGTGGTAAACCCTGACATTTCACCAGCCAGGAGAAAGTTTTTTTTAAATCGAAACTCCTCCAAATTCGCCAAACAGTCCCTCAGATTTTAGAGAGAGATAATCAATTTTACGTGTTTATAAACTTATTAAACATGTCACTCGATATAATTTATAGTCAAACTCAACGACAGAGCGCTTACCCGCTTAAAAAAATATTTTATAAGCATGTCTCACCTAAATAACTGTCAAAACCCCAGGCTAAGCTAGTCAGCTAGCCTCCCAGTTTCTATTTACAAGCTAGCATTAGCCGGACTAGCTTTAGCTGACATTACCGACAAAACTTGTGGCTCCGGCTGCGCCTCCAGCAGGTTGTCCTTCTCTGGTTCCTCTATGATGTCGTTCATCATCTTGGCGTTAGTTGTCACAGTTTACACCACAACACAGCCATGATGACAAAGTGTCCCACCGGTGCGGGACTTTGTTGTTTTCTTTAGGAGCAGGCAGGCACTTCTGTTCGCTAGCTATGCTATTACGCTAGCAGTGACAGCTTTCATTCTACTTCCGGGCGAAAACTACAAAGTAAAACCCAACGTCGTTAACATGTTTTTTTAAAGATAACGTGATGTGCTGCATGCTATCCAAGAAGATAAGTTGACCTTAATGTTTGGTTATGTGCAGTTGCATTTTTGTCAGTTTCTTATCGCCAAACCACTGTGAGAAAAGTCCGTCATTCTCATTAGCGTAATGCTACATTTCACTCCCCAATTCAACACCTCAAAGTTATCCAAGTAAACTAGAAATAAGAACTGAGAATACAATTTAAATGTTGTGTGTGTGTGTGTGTGTGTATATACATACGTATATATAGATAGATAGATAGATACTTAAGTTAGAAGCAAAGAATAATAATTTCGCAAGGAAAGTAATTATTATCTCCCACTTCCGTAATGCTGACATATATAAGGAAAAATATTTTCTGTGGTTAATGCTTTATGAAGGCTCCATTTTCATGTATCTTATGATGACATACAGTTTAAAAAGCAAACTAAACAGCCCTCTTTGTGCTTTAACTACTGTTGTTGCACTGTGACCTTGGACCCCATACACACACAGGCAGTATGAGATTAAGGGCCCCACCTCTTCTACTACATAGGAGTTGGACACAGACTTTAAGGTGACTTTGCATCTCTTTGTGGTCATGATGCATCTTTTTTGTATGTTTGTGTCTCTTTGTGGTCATTTCTGTCTCTTCCTGGCCCTTACATGTGAATTTGACATTTTGCAAGTGAAAGCCAAATGAAAGTAGGTTGTCTTTCCCCATTTACGTTTCTTTTCACTGTAATGTCGTGAACTAGTTTATGGTTTGTATATAGTTCTTAACCTACTTGCGCATACATTAGACTGTTTTCACAACATACATTTTGATTGTCATAGCAAAGGTGTGACGAATAACATTAACGACAGCTCCATTCCATCTAAGTAAATCATTATACCTGTGCTTTTCCTGCTACAATGAGTCAAAACATTGGCTGTATAAAAAAATCCATTAAAGAATGTTCAACCACTTACCAGGAAAGAAAACACAGACATTCATCAATTATTGGTTTCTTTATTAGGTCCACCATTTTGTACATAACAGGACAGCATGGATTTAATCAACAATATAGACATATTTGACAGGAGAGAATCAGAAGAGCTCTTCTCTTTAAATATCCAATGACCTAAGGAAAGACAAACAAAAGACATTTTAGCTGCATGCAAGTAACATGTAATATAATTTATGGTCTACAGTACACTCAGTAGGCCATTAAAAATACAAGGTTTGAGGCAGTGCTGGACACGATCAGTACTTATGCCCGAAGCAATTCCCTTTCTAAAGCCACATCGCCTTCCCCAAGTAACATGTAGTAGTATAGCATAGTGCAGTCTCACCTTGACAGTCTACATTTTGGCAATGCCAAGCTCTTCTGGTGTTGAGATGCCGAGTTCTGACAAGGTGGGCTTGAGCTCTTGGATCAGGTAGGGATAGATTTCTTTATGGGGGCCTGCTTTGTCCTGCAAAACACCAAAAAAGAACAAATGAGCGGCATTTTGTCATAGGCAATACTTGCAAACGTGGCAGCAAAGAAGCAATAATGAGCCTCAAACAATAATCCTTTGATTAAATTGCTATTTGGGTGTTGTATTACATGTATGGATATGTCAATTTTTTACCGTCATTGTATAAATGTGTAAAACAAATGGCATTATTGTGTAATTTCACTCTACAGTAATATCAGGGTGACTTCCTACATTTGTGGACCATTTGAACTCCTAATGTGGAAGTTTTTGATGCGTCTCTGCACTGCAGTGACAAATCTGACTTCTTTTAAGTTGAGTCACGCTGTCCCAGTGAAACACAGTTCCACAAAAAAAAAAAAAAATGTGGCACACCCTGACTGAATATATGAAGGGATGGTCACTCACCTTCACAGCCTCAAGGATGCGGATGGCGCTGGCCATGTCATTCAATCTCCGGCAAGCCCTTAGTGCAGAATCCAGGATCTTGGCCTCGGGTACCAGGTCATACCCAATTAGGGTGTTCATGCCTTTAGGTTAAAATCAATGAAAAAAAATGCTATTACTTCAAAGTATCAGCAATAATAACATGAGCAAATGCAAAGAATAACAGAGAGAAAAGGTAACATCCTTTAAACTCATACAATACTTGCAGTTTTTGCTACTGGTTTGCTGGTTACAGCTGGAGTCAAACCCCAAAACCTGAGGGTGGGTCTGATACTAGACCCAAACCAGAACTGTATCAGTGACCAAACTAGGAACAGCAGGATGAGGACACATTGTCAGAATAAGAACAGAAAAAATTGTTGACAAAGTCACCTTTCCTCAGTTCCCAAGCATCTATGTCAGGCTTGCTGAAGTAAGTGACCCAACGGGCATCAAACTCCTCGTCAGTCTCCACCTTGCCATGGGAGTAACATCTCGAGGCCAATGGAGCTGGAAAACATAAAGCAGACAAAGAGATTTCTTCATAATGTTTTTCAATACTAGTGATGATACAATAAAGAAGTTTCAAGCGCTTAAAAGTACATGTAATATGGAAATAAGTAAACTGCTGTACAATTAATCTTAATATTATCAAAATCGCAATGTGTCCAAGTGCAATATCCAAATCACAGGAGTTGCAATTTTTTGATAAGAGGATAAGAGTAAAATGTGTCACAACATACCATTATAAATGAAGCATTGTTGTGCTAAAGAGATGCCCCAACCAGCAAATCATACTCCAGGTGTAAGGGAACACATGCTCGTTTAGTACAGACCCCAGCAAAAATCACATCATCATCATTTTGATTTTTCCAGTGAAAGTTTCCAGTTCCAGATTCTACAGTTTCTTTCTTTTTTTTTTCTTTTTTTTTTTTTTTAAAAAAGAAGCCAAACACAAGCAGCAATAAAGAAGTCTGTGTGTCTAAAACTGGCCAAATTTGATTAAAATGAGTAAATATCTTATTAAACAAGTAGTCCTAAAAAACAACTATAAACCTGGCCAGGCATCATATGCCAACCTTTTAATAATACTGTTTTCAATATTTGTCAAAACTTAGGAAGCCATATATCATGAACCTAGAGATAAATTTCAATATTTGAATATGATAACGACACATAGAATGAAAGAGTCAAGCTGACAAAGTAGAACATCCACTATATTCAAAACACTTTTGAGTCATGTTATGTACATTGAAGTTTTCATACCACTGCAAGCGAGCCAGACAACATTTCGCAGAGACAAAATGGCACGGAATATGACTTGTTTTAACAGCAAAATTGTCTTTTCTACAAAACATCTTATGTGATAACTGTTTCTGAAAACGGGAAATACAATACTGTGGGACTTTAATTAGACATAAAGTAGGGATGCATGTTATTGGAGTTATTGTCTATATTTGATATGCCAGTATACGACAACTTAATTGGCCGATAACCGATTTTAATATTGATATTTCCATTTTTTCCCCACCTAATTTGAGTGATCATCAAGTCTCTTCTGTAGTGGAATTAACATTGTATATGCATGCGTGCATAGTGATGGCCCACCAGCAGATGGAGACATGAAACAGAATGTTTTACAATGTATGTTAACATTCATTTACTGCGCACAATGAGAACAAGTATGTTGAGACTTATGATAGTTAATTTTAAAGTCGATATTGGCTAACACCAATGACGTACTGATATTATCAGCATGTTAGCCGATTCCAATAGTTCATTTTAAAGCCAATGTCTGCTGATACTGATGAAGAGTTGGTATAATGGTGCATCCCTAACATAAAGTAAGAAATGACATTATAAAAAGTGCATACAGTACTTTCTTTTCCAAAGCTCTATCAAAGTCAAACACTTTCAGGAATAAAATAAAATCAGGTTACACAAAAAACATTTTCAGCTACAATGCCTAAATCAGTGTGGTGGACGCTGTGGGTCAAGAAATCCAGTTAAGAAGTTGTATTTAATATATGGCTAGAAACGTAACTTGCTGTAGGGCAAAGTTTTAGTGTTACTTTTTTATTCCAACCATACTTTATCTCTCACAACAATAATGCAGGTGCACGACATCCCAACACACAACACCTTTTTTTCCTCTGTACAGCATATCCAAGTTCATATTAATGACAGTTAATATGAGAGAATATTAGCATCAAAACAGGTAACAAACTACATCGTTCAAAATGTCCATAGTCAACTATGTGTACATTTTACATATATAACGTTAGCTATATACATAATAAAGCATATGTTGACTTTGCCATAAAGTGTTATCAGCTGCGTATAAACTGCGGTCACTGACTCTCCTGAACTAACTAAGGAGGGTCATCACAAGGTCGTGACTCTTTTTGCTAAAATTAATTTGGCGGCTCTTTATTTAAAATACGCTGTGTGAGGTGAAACTGGAGGAATATGTTCAGCTCGAGACCACAAAGACACCTCACCACAGAAATAATTCAATGTCACCCCCAGTTAGCTGTACACTCGCACACAGCAGTAACGTTGGCTAAGCTAACTAGCTAGCCGAGTCATCTTACTACAGTCATCTTTCTACCGGAGGCTGTTTATTTCCACGGTAGCTGTACTGCGGACAGTCCTACCTGAGTAGCAGGGTCGTGACCGAGCCAGGCTCCGGGTGCCTGAGGCTGACAGTCGGATCACAGCTCGGAACATGGTACCGCAGTGGGTGCTAACCGTCCTGTTTGCTGAAGAGGGAGACTCTGGACGGACAAATACGATGAGGATGGCGGGGGGTCACGTGACCGGCGGAGATAGCCGAAGGCTTCTACGTCCCAGCAGCTGATAGGTCCGTGCCTTGACCTCGTATGAGGATACGTGTTTTGGTTTCGACAGCATCAGTGTACACAGGCGCTCAGTGCAATTTACACATAGACTTTATTTACTGAGCTGTTTTTTTTAATTGAGAAAAGGAACATGTACAAAATATCAGGTAATTAATAACAGACAAACAAAAACAGGAACCAGGGGTACATGCATACAGAGAAAAAAATAAAATCTATTCAGTCAGAGGATTTGGGGGAATAAAATCACATAAATTCTAGGAGAAAAGATAAAAATTCTAGAGGTGACTTAAAGAATTTCTTTGTTTGTGATTTCATTGTATTGTGTATCCAAGAGCCCTACTTTCTGGATTATCATGATAACAAATAGGTTAAAGAAGTATTAGAGGTTTCAAAGAAGTGAGAATGTCCAAAATCTATTGGATATGTCACATAAAAAAGACTAGACATAGTTTCTGTATTTTTATTTATTTAGCTCTTGTTGCTTCAGATACTCTGACAAACTTCAGACATAAATGATTATTTCTGAGAGCTCAGCAAATTAACTTACATCATATTGCCACAAAGCTGCCTGGAAAAGAGCGGTTGGGACCTCATGGAGGGAAATGGCATGTAGTTGGGGCAGTACATGTCATTTTGTGAGAACTTAGTTCAAGGTAATGCTAACAGATACATTATACGCTGTGGACCAATGTTGGTTTTTGTACTTGTGTCAGATAATAGTCCACCAAAGCATCAGAGGTCAAAATATCCCGACTTTAAGCCCCAAAAATGAGTTATCATGCCCCCAGAGCTCTGGATTCAGAGGCAGATTGTCAGACAATGGACCCTTGGGCAGAGATACGTAAAAGGTCCCTCATCTCTCCTACAGGAGCAAGACACACACACTTCAGCCTTGTTTTAGGCTATTGGTTTTGTTTTGCATCTCTTTGTAGATGTAATGCATGTTTTTGTGGTGTTATATTGCTTTGCAGTTGTTTTGTGTCTCTCTGAATTTTTTTTTTTGTTCATTTCATCTTTGTGGTTGTTGTCCTCTTTTCTGTAGTTATTTTGTGTCTCTTTGCAGTTCCTTTGCATCTCTTTGCGATCATTTTAATATCTTTCTTTTTTTAATTTGAGACACTTTCAATTATGCAACTTGATAGCATCAAAATGAACTTCTTACTTAAACTTGGTGGGGTGCCCCTTTAGCTAAAGCGAGAAAATGCAGTGCATCGTCAAATGATACCAGCAGAGGGAGCGCTTTATCTAAAAATACACTCTTGAGTCCTCAGAAGCCTCAAAGCAAGTTTGTTCCATTTATTGGTCCAGCAGAAAATACCTTTAATGCTAAGTGCATGTGAGGAGCTGAAGCACTGACAGATTCTGTTACAAAACATGACATTATTGTTTTCGGTAAGACTCATGTTGTATTTAATGAACCACAAATGATCATCTGTGTAGGATTTTTTTCATGTTGATAACATGACGATAACATTCATCTATTTTATTTCTCTTTGTGTGCATGTTACAAAGGTATGCCGGATTACCCTGCTGCAAATCTGTCATTGATTTAAGTTTGTGTGTGTGACATAGAGAGAGTGTGTCAGGGTTCTTAGTGACGTGGTAAACTCTAATCCACCCTAAGCCCAGGGCACCACAGTGGATGTCCATTAGTGTAATGTGCTGCTGCACATCCTTCCTTCTCCATCCTTCCCTGCCTCTTTCTCTCTCCACCATGTCTGTCTTTTGTCTGCTTCCATGCCTTCAATGCAACACACGATAGTGCGTTAAATAAAAGTGTTGTCAATGCATATTTTTTGCCATTAGGCTCCAGTTTTAAAAGAACTTACTGGTAGCCAGGATAAGCTCTGTGACCTCTCACCTCCCTGTGGTGGGGCGCAAACACATTTTCTTGATTTGATGACGATAATAAATCATTATATTACACTTATGGTACCTTGTGTTTTTTTTTAAATTTTACATGGTAAAAGCACCTAAAAATTCTACTGGGATTGTAACATCTCTTTTTTCTCTTATATAAAGCTGGGTCATGTAACAACATGACCTGTTTGTCAGTGAAGGAAATGAATATGCTGATGCCACAGAGAAATCGATCTCCCTGAAATGAGGAAATTCAACATAACATGATATATGAGAAGAGTGTTACATTTAAGGTGTCATTTCCTGCACTGTAGAACCTCAGCATTTTTTATCATTGTTATTTAACTGCAGATATTGTATTTACATAATTTTTAATGTACTGCCTCATGTTGCAAGTAGATCTACAGTATCTTCTTTTTTCACCTGATTCCTGTGCTCCTGTCCAGTGAAACCTCCCATATATACATCACTGTGGATAACAACATCAGCTAAATGCTCAAACTATCACTATTGTGACCAACCTGAGGGTGTCTGCATTTCTTATCGTAGCTGAAAAAAGTCTGCTTGTCTGCCTTACCTTAAAGGAATACCTCACTCTGTTTTTTTGACATGCCTGAGGTGAAAGACAAATCAAAAAATTATCGATGAATTAAAGTAAAAGGAGTCCGCAATTAACAACGGCGAATATGTATATATCAGAACATCTGTTTACAAACTCTCACACAACTTGTGCAGTACAATCAAAATCTCATTTATCTACTCATATGCTTGGTACTTTCCAAACAGACGCCCCTTCTAACAGTGAGCCTCACAAAGTGAATCTTACCTATGTTCTCTTAAAAGCCAGACTCAACTGACAAAACAGCAAATTTCTGCTGGTGTATCGCTGCTTCGATCAGTTAGTTTGCTTGTGTTGTTTTGTGATTTTAGGCTACTTCAGATGCACCAAAGTCACACAACAACACAGCCTAACTAACTGATCATGGCAGTGGTAGACCAGCAGCTCCCAAGTTCAGTGTAGTAAAATCACCGTTTTCAGCAATGGAGTCTGGCTTTAAGAGCATAGCTAAGTTTCAAGTCAAGGGGCTGTCTGTTTGGAACGTACTGAGCATACAACTGGATAAATGAGACCTGAATTATACTGCATGAGTTGTGTGAGAGTTTGTAAGCAGATGTTTTGATACAGTTTAGCTGTTGTAAAAGGCGGACCCCTATGACTTCAATTTATCAGAAATTTTCTCAGTTTTTGGATTCTTCGTTCACCAGTGGCATGCAGAAAATAGACAGTTTTCTTAAGAAAATAAATGTGACACAGGGTGAGTAATTGATATATAAATGGTCATTTTGAGGGTGAAGTGTTCCTTTAATACAACATAATGCATCTTGTCTGCTGAACCCTTTAAAATAAAAACTCATTCAGTCAATTTTTTTCTCCTTGACTGAGGAGCAGGACCAAAATGTGAAGCTTACTTCAATCCATGCTTGTCTTTGTTCCGCTCAGTTCGGTGAGTTACACAGGACCATGATATAAAGTACTGAAAGTCATAAAAATAGAAAGGAAGCTCCGTTTGGTTCTACAGTTATGATGGTTTTATTGGCATTTCCCAAGGTTGTATTTTACAGTGATGGTCACAGTCTGGAAAGGTAAAGAGACATAAAACAAAAAGAGTGGCACTATTGCAGATTAATATGGGCCTCTCTTCTGTGTGGCCTACATATGTAGCATGCAGTTGCCATGTTAAGATATTTCTGTCTGTATACATGAATTATTCAGTGTCTTCTAGCAGCGGATGGACATGCATAACACTTAATGCACTACTTGATATTAGGGTTGCTAGGGTTGAATCATGGGTAAAGCAGTCTGGCTTGGGATGTGACCTCCCTGTACCTTTGCCTACTGTGACTTTTAACAAAGCTCCACCTCCTTTCATTATCAATCACAATGTTAGCAATGATGGTATGGTAATGCCCAATATTTTTCTGATGGTTAAACAAGGGTCCCATCAACAGTGCTTTTCAGACCACAACCTAATGCAAATATTTGTATATGCACTTACGATACAGTTTGTACGAATTACAACAAATCTTCAACCCTTGCTTTTGAATGGTCAGATTTAGCTCCCTGAGGAAAAGGTAAATGCTATACAATCAATGGCATCAAATTGTGTTAATACTGCTTCATCAATAGAGTTGGTAAAATACAAAAGCCATGTTTGCATCCACATGGCTCAAATACGTAACTGAGTATCCTTGGTCTATGATGTTACTAAGATTTGAGCGGCTCCACGTCAACATTAAATGTATTTAGACAGTGGCCTTCGTTACAAGCTGTTAGGGCTGTATGTTCACTATGTTCACTGCAAATCACTGTGGCTTTATCATGTAGCATCACAACATCTTAACTGATGAATACACAGTGTGTCTTACATGGACAACACCAGAATACTGATATGGGGGGAAGAACATTTTGGAAAAAGGTGTACATACAGTTTATATTACACACAGACTTTAAAAAAAAAGAATGATGAAGAAAACAGGAGAAGTGATCTAAGTCCATGAAGCCATTTAAGAAGCACTATGTACAGTGTGGAGACAGTTTGAGTGGACGATGTGCAACAGAACTAATGTTTCTTAACAAAATCAAAAGAGTGACGACACAGAACAACATTGACAACAAGGGGAGGGATGGGACGGAGGCAAGTGATCGGCGTAATTGAGAGGGGGGGCAGAGGAATGTATGATATGTGCATGTGTGCAAACCTCTACAAGTATCACAATAAAAGCATGAGCTTGCAGCGCCTGCTGTCGAGCATAAGAAGAGGGCGCTGGGCGTTGGTGTTGGGGCTGGGCTGGGTTTGGTGTTGTTATTTTTAGGGTGGTTGGGGTTAAACGGGGATGAAAGCACTTTTCGCCGCAGTTTAGCCACTGCCCAACATCTTTGTAGCGCGCTGGTTGGCCTCGTCAATCCTGGTCTTGTTGGAATCAGCCTGAAAGAGACACACACACAGTTCAGCCAGGAGTCAGTTATGGGTGGGGATGAGTGACTTTAAAGGAAAATGCGTCTGTGGGTGGAGCTAACTTTGCACTTGCACATCCTTTATAGAGATTTAAGGAAAGGAGGAATCATGCAAAACAACAGGGCAAGCTGTGGGAGCCTCCTACAGCTGTTCAAATAAGCCAGATTTTTCACAAGAGTCATTGCAAACACTTGTCTCTGGATCTGCCCAAAGGTAAACACATAATCTAGCTGCCATGAACTCCCATCATGGCTAACAGCACAGGGACCTATGTCCAGGTCAACTTGCCAGCTGACCTAATTACCCTGCACATTCATCCGCACAAAATATCCCAAAGTAAAAAGAATGTGACACCTCGGAGTCTTGTTTCAATTAACTTGTGGAGCAATTAGCCAGAACTGGAAACCCACAGAGTCAAAACAGCCACATTCATGGGATATATGCTAGAAATGAACCGGAATTACCCTTTAATGGAGACATACATACTCACATTTTCACCCAGATTTTGTTTATTGGCATGTGAATCAGATTTGCTCCATTACTGTGTCAAGCGGGCTAAATCTGCTCAAAATCAGCACAGCTGCATCCGCTGTTACATGGCCTAATGCTGAGCATGTAATCCATGCTAAATATCAGCTAAATGCTCTATAGATTAGCTTCCATTTGCTGCCTTTCATTTATTTACTTTACGCACAGTTCTGACATCAAATAGTTAAACTCACAACATCAAACCACATGCTGGCCCCATAGCTTTCCATACCTTCTTCTAGCATTAATACAAATAGGCCTACAATTAGTTATCTTATTAAGCAGTCTTGAAAATCTAGTACCCTTGGCAGACTCTTGATTATCTTGTTTTATAAATATGACTAATGTTGTCCTTGAGCCTCACGTTGTTCCATAAGGAGTATTTTAGGTCCGTTTTGTTAAGATTTTGAAGCACCACACTACTAAATGTTCAACTCTGCTGGCACTGTCTTCATGTACTTTGGATCAAACATTACTTTGCTACCCCAACAACTAGGAGAGGTTGTTGCCTGGTAACTGAAACTAACTTGTTTCCAACAGTGAGTATGAATTTAGAGTGGTGAAGAAGCAATTACACCATGGTCATGCACTTCTCTAGAAAAAAATGCACCCTCTCCCACCAATTAAAGGTTGAAATTCTCCATGGCCATACTGTACCTTCTCCATGATCCTATCGATCTGCCGGTTCTGGGTGTCAATCTCCTGGCCCATATCCAGGGCCATGTGACGCAGATTACCAATGATCCCGCCCACCTGCTCCAGGTTCTCATCCATCTCATTCTCCCGGGCGTCATCTGTTACCCTGGGGCACACAGGAAGAGGAAGTAGGACTGGTTAATGGCAAAATATTATTTTTAGTTACTGTTGGAATCTACATTGTGTTGGAAAGCACAAGCTTCATAAAACAGCCTGGTACAGTACAGTTCAGTGCACTTTGAGTAGATATGATATCTTTTAAAAGAACAAATACTTCAAATTGCCTTTGGAACTCAAATACTGGTACATTTAAGGATAAAAAGAATAAGCCGTACTGGTCACGTGGCCTCCCAGCTGGCAAACATGTTATGGGCTATCTGAGGATTTAGTACCATGGACAGCACTTCACATAAATCTGTGAGAGTCCTGTTTTTCAAGAAACCAAGGAAGAAGAAACCCTGATAATTTTTTGGAATCCATGAGGCTTAAATCATATGTCATACTATTACCCAGTGATTCCCAATTACAGGCCCGGGACCCCTTCAGTGAGTCATGAGATAGTTCTGAGGGTCACAACATGATTAAAACAAAGTTTTGCTACACAAATGTGAATTAATTTTTGTTGGATTTACCTCAAATCATTGCTTTTTTTGGAAAGGTTTACCTGCTCAGGTTCCCAAACATTTATTCAAATGACAAAGTTTAGAGTTAATTCTACTACTCACCTTATAGACCTCTGTAACTAGAGATGGGAGGTCACAAGTAGACACACACACATTTATTTTAAGGGGTCATAAGTGAAAAAGGTTGAAAACCAGTGGAATAACACATATGTCAAACTTTGTTGCTCCAATTTTAAATATGAATGAATCTCTATAAATAGTAATCTGCATGTATCCTGAATCTGTAGGCCACTGGACAAGATTTTGGTATCAGAAGCGCTCTGGTTTCCGTTTGTAGTCTGAATAGTATTGACCAACCATGTTTGAGTGTACTTTGGTTGCCTGCAGGTAAACAGTCCATGTGGAGAGCAAGAGATGAAATGCAATCTCCAAACCCATCAGGTACTGTCTGATGTCGATTTGTCTTTTAACTAGCTTTTTTCTAATATATCTGCATTAAATTGCTAAAATCTGTTTATAGAGATTAGCTGACATGTTGTTGACCCATCTTAAGTTGTTTATCACACTGTAAACAATAAGCAGCACACTGAAGAGGAAGTCTTGGTCTGATTATCTGCTGGCTACACCGGATCTCCTGAAATTTTGGCTGTAGCCCTGAGAGGCTTTATCATCGTCAGATGATAGCCAGTGGGTTCAGAGTCTGAACATGAAAGAACTACATTACTTTATTGAACCCTGACTGCTTATTGTTGCAGACTGAGCAGAAAGTGTCCAGTTTCTTTCCTCTAAACATTACAGTAAATTCAGATAACATTTCAAACATTCCTAAGTGGAACAGTTTGATAATACATGTTACCACCTGTCTACAATGAAGGTAAAATGTTTCTTGAAAAGTCAAAATGGGCAACCTATTCTAGGATAAGACGTATATAATTTCATATAATTGTGAATGTAAACAATATTCATTCACATATAAACACACAGCATACACAATCATTCATTCAAACACACAGAAACAAGTACGCATACCAACTACACACACATACAGGAGCACACGCACAGAAACACACACACTACTTACCTGCGGATGAAGCCCCCACTGATGGCCATCTGTTCACGTTCGTCCATGACTCGAGCCCCTGGCTGGCTGTTCACCACTCCATCCTGGTTCCCTCCCCAGGCCTGGCCCCCGCCCTTAATCCTACCACACACACATATCAGTCAGGGCCAGTGAGACTGTTGTATTGTGTGCTTGTGTATGTGCATATATATATCTGTGTGTACTTGTTTACTTATTTGTGGATGTGACTAGCGAGCAGTGGGTGTGCATGTGACTGTATGCTGGTCAGTATGTGTGACACTGTGTGTGTGTGTGTGTGTGTGTGTGTGCGCTCTGGAGTGTGGATGTGTATTGTCTATGTAAGTGCATGTTTTCTAGCAATTCACCATTAAAACATATACATGAATATATGTTTGGAATGCACTGCATAATATTGTGCCATGCCAGTCAGCCTACTAAAAGCATCATGCCAGTCACGTATGATAAACTTGCATACGTGCATTTGCAGTCTGTGAATAATTGATCGAATGGGCAGATCAATTGAGTCTGAGCACAATAAGCTCACATGTGGCTTGTGTTAGAGAGTAATCAAGGTCCTTTAAAGACTCAGAAAACCATCTCCCACAAGTACATACAGAAGAGCACAAACACAGAACATAATGACAAGACTCGAGACGGAGGAGACACAAACACACATGCAGATTGAGAGGACATGCAAAGAGGAAACAGTACACAATGTTTGACATGAGAGGGAATAACATGTAGAGAGGAACAGGATCAGACACATGCTGTATCTAGTAAAAGAAAGCCCAGCAGTTAGATCCGTTGTGGAAAACCAAAAAGAAAAAAACAACAAAAACACAAAAAAAATGTGAGTGACTGGTGATCATTTTCCATGCAAAACTAAATAATACAGTAGTTGTGATGAGCCCTTCATTTCATCTGGATGGAAACATCTGTAGAAATATACACTGTATACAGTCAAATAGGCAAATCTAATTCTTAGCGTTTGTTTTATTATGCTTGGAGTATCTGATGAGTGGAGGTCACCACTGAGGACAGCACAATAAACAAAGTCTATTTTAGAGTTGTTCAATTTTCAATAAAAGACCATTACTGTATGCAACATTGTTATTGTGAGGTGGTAAACCACACCCATTCAGTGCTCCAGTTTATAACAACAAGCAAGAATTATTTGTTTCACACTATTTGACAGTGCCATATAAAGAGTTTAGATCAGATGAAGCACATTACATAACCACAGGATCACATAACAAGTGGATCACGATAGGGAGGACCAAAGAGCTATAGAATAGACAAGATCTGAACCCAAAACAACCACAAATGGAAGAAGGACCAAAATGGACCATATAAAGGCAGCAAACTCTTAATATATCTTCATAGTCAAAATCAGGTGGTGACTATTTAAAACACCAACTGCTACAAAATGACAGCTGTGATGCAAATAAGGCAGATTAGTTACATGTGCTACTATCAAGATCCTGCTCAGCCCTGTTTTGGAGAAAGAAATCATCTGTTAAAATGTCTACTGATTCTAGGTCTGATCTAACACAGAAAAAAACTTTTCTCAAGAAGACAAAAACCCAGCACATTCTACAGTAATGCCTGACTTTAGATATACAGTGCTGCATTTGGTTAATCATAAGGGTATTACTTATTCAACCCCCGACTTAAGTCTGAGAAACATTTTGCTGCAAACCCACCACAGACTAACCCATATATAGCCATTTATTTCTTGGTTTGTCAGCCACTTGTATTTTCTATAGCTCTGAGATAGACAACTGTATACAGTACATGTACTGGTCTCAGTATAGTGTAGTATGCTCAGGCATGGCTCAGTGGCCATGGTTTAGCTGTTGAAGGTCAGAGACCAGATCACACAGGAGTTTGGCAAAACAAGCATTTGGAATCCACCTTCATATCAAAGCTTTCAAAGAACAAATAATTCAATTTAATACTTAAATATTAAAATGGTAGCACCTGATGTCCAGTGTGCTCAGAGAACAAGTTTACCTCACTCTTGCATGATGTTTCATTATGTAGGATGGTCCTGAGGGGAAAGAGGCAGGGGCCAACTGAGGCATACTATAGTATCGGGATATTGGGTTCAGGTGTTTCGTAGTGGGGTTGCAAGAGGTACTTATCCTTAGTCAGTGTATTACCTAAAAAAATAACCCATATCAGTTTAAGTGTATGCTACACTGAGAGTATTGACACCACTTTACCTTGCTGTCAAACAGCTCTATCCAATGGGGAACTAAAGCTGCTAAATCCATCTATGCTCTTTTCAAAGCCACCAGACTCCATTTACAACAGTAATTTTACCTCGCTGACCATGAGAGCTGCTGGTCTACCGTTGTTATTCTGTTTTGTAATTCTGTGACTTTGGTGTTTTAAATGACTATTTCAGATTCACCAAATTCACGAATTAACATAAACAAATCAAGGCAGCGGTAGACCAGCAACTCCTGTGTTCTGCAATGAAAATCACTGTTGTTGTCAAAGGAGTTTGGTGAGAGCACAGATAACGGCTTCAGTTCCCTGTCAGAGAGGGCTGACTGCATCAAAGTAAAGCTGTGAAAATGTTCTAAATTTAGTGTACACTTAATCTGATATTGATTTTTTAGGTGGCTGAAATGCATTTTGCTGCAGCACCTGTCAACAGCAGTACATTGTTTAGCTTTTGTGGCGGTACTCCTGCCTGCTTCTCCAAACTGGGAGCATGCCGACCACCATTTACTTAATACACTGACCATGGGTAAGTGCCTCATACAGCCCCACTTCAAAAATTAGAATTATGCCTTTAACATTACAACTGTAATCTGAGGGTCATGTGCCAAAGTGGTGTGCTGAAGAGTCAGTCAGACAGCTGCTTTAATGGGTGTTTTTACTGTTTGTTTTTGATTATAAAGTTACTGTAGATAAATCTCGTTTAGTAAATACAGAAACTTGTATTACCCAAGAAAAAGTCTGGCACATAATAACCCACATAAAACTATAACATCTAATTCTTTCATCTAATTCTTGGCAATGAATATAATAAGCCTATTTCCCAAAACTATTCAATTGCTTAGCTGCAAGTATCAGCTGTGTACCGTTATGTCATGTACTCAAATAAAACAACAGCCTTTTTTTCTTAAATATACCAGTGAAAACTTTGGATGCCATAAATTCCAGGAGCTATGATACAGTCTTGTCTGAAACTGATCATTTAAAATCAGACAACTTTCTTTTTAATGTATTGCAAGAGCCACATAGTATCAATTAATGCATGTGAAAACATGTAAAACACCAACAGCTTTCCAAATGACAAAAGGTGGATAAAACTCAAATGAGGTATTTAGTGAAGAAGGCAACTAGTTGATTTATTCTTTGGTTTGATTTAGACTTTGTACACAGCATGATGCATCATGCTGCAGGGTAAGGGTGGGGGCTTGGGTGGGGTTTAGGGGAAGTGGTGGGGGCTGTAGCCCAGATCCCTGCTGACGCTGCTACCTGTTGGAAGAGAACTCTCATCCAATGTGGAATGAAGGGCTTTTGATGACAACAGTGAACAAAGTGGCATCAGACCTGTTGTGCAGATGTGTGTGTTGTTCATGCATGCACACTGTCAACTTGAGCAAACACACCCACACATGCATGCAGCACTGGTGCCTGTTCTGACAGTGTGTTATTGTGGCTTTGGGCCCAACTGCTCATACCACTGTTCACCGTGCTCTACACACCAGAAGCAGGCGGACGAATAGAGAGGCAGGAAGGCAGGCACTGAAACACATGCAGTCAGGCGACACAGGCAGCACCTACTTGTTACAGGGACATGAACATAGACCACAGAACTGTCCTAGATTGTTCAAATTCTTTTCTGCATCCTTCATGTCCTTATTGATTTGGTCCATCCCCTCCTCGATGCGCTCCAGTTGTTCTGATTACCAACACATTGTCATTTTTCCCAGCAAAAGAACGAAAGCACATGAGAAGAGAAGAGAGGAGGAAGAAGTTGCGGGGTAGAGGGGAGGGAGGGGGAGTAAAGAGGGCAAACAAAGGAGAAGAGACAAAAAAGACATTGACTGTGACAAGAGAGACATCAGACATCACCACCACCACCAGCACTGGACAGGCAAGAGCTCGGCGCTCCTGGCCGGTACCTACTTTTTAATACATGGGCATATCAGACCACAGCATTGTCCTATATCTTTTAAATCTTTCTCGGCCTCCTTCAGGTCTGCATTCACCTTGTTCATGCCCTCTTCCACACGATCAAGTTGTTCTGGTGAGGACAAAGGCATGAGAGCAATGAAATAAATTTGACTCGTGTTGTTTTTTTGAGGGCTGGCGCTCTACGCTATGGTGCAAGAGGCAAAATGGTTTGGCTAGATGCAGAAGGCAAAGCAGGCAACAAGCATTGAGAGTAGCTGTTGATAAAGTGACTGAGAGACAATGCTTTGCATGTCAATTAACTTCCTTGAACTCTAACGACTTTTGTTTCCTACCTCCGTCCAAAGCGACACATTGCTTCTCTGAGTAAGAATTTCATCTGAGTGGCAGTAGCAATACCTGCATCAGCAGCTGTATGCGTCATCCAAACCTGCATCTGTGCATGAAGATGTTTATTCTGCCACTCTGCCTGTCTGAATACTACTGCACATCAATGGGAGCAGTGATAGGCGACAGAGAGAGTGACAGAGACTGTGATAGGTAGAGTACTTTAAAAGCATTAAAATAAATGAGCAACAAATCAATGAACAAATCACGGACTGAGTGTGATGAAAAGCACCTTTCAGGCATGTGAAGTCCCCAGTGCTTCCTTACTCAGATGGTCAATAGGGCACAGAGCTATAAAAAGCTCTGATTCAAGGTCAGATCCTCTCTCTGGCTGGTTAATGGTTATAGGACAGGATAGCAGTAATCTCCATCAGTGGAAGGGGGCACTTTGTCTTCCGGGAAAAACTCAGAAGGTTTGATTTGTCACATTGTAGTACAGAGGACGCAGATATAACACTGGCTCAACATCTATAGAAATAAGTGCTACTGATCCACAACTGAGGTAAAGTGTTCAATTTTAGTATTTCTACAGCTCAGGAGAAAACTACCAAAACTAAGACAACGTATCTTACTTTTCTAAAACCGGAGCAGTTTACACTATGTGCTAAACAAATGGGACAAACTTTTCATAAAAGAAAAGACAGATCTCAAAAGCTAAGGAGAGACTATTAGTTGAAATGATTACGATGAATTTTCAGTTAACTGTAGGGTACAACTAGATGGCACAGTCGAAGACAACTAAATGGCCTCCAGCAGTAATCCCAGGCAAAGTGAGGGATTGAATTGAGTCGAGGAGGAACGTGACAGAGAGAGAGAGAGAGAGAGAGAGAGAGAGAGAGAGAGAGAGAGAGAGAGAGAGAGAGAGAGAGGCATTGTTTATCTCCTCAGCTTCAGGCAGCCGGGCCGGACTTAACAACCTGCCTCCTGCCCTCTGTCTGAGGATTATCGTGTGAGCGCCTCCCTTCCCCTCCTAGTCACACTCACAGGTTTAACCAACTAGAAAGTAGGATCAGTCAAATCAGTCAATGATGATTTTTTTTCACAGCAGACATTGTTACTTGTTGTACGGTAGTAGGATAAGTACAGGTGTTTCTAATAACATGAACACTGGTTATGCTCTGCTCAAATTCCTCAATCACTCAAATCAATCAATCAATCAATCAAAACTACACCTGTGCTTTTCCTGCTGTGACATGTCAAAATGTCTGCTGTGAAAAAGATCTTTGTCATATTGTCATTGTATTTAAAATTTCTCTACACTATGACAGGGACATAAGTAGTAAAAATAAATGAAATTTAGGAATTTGCTGCCCCGAAAAGACAGCTGAGAAAACTAAAACTACAACCTGCAACTTAAAATCAACTCCGTTTAAAATTCTGGGTCAATTCTGAATGAATTCAACAGCTATGGCACTGCGTTTTGTTTTCAACTGCACCAACAAAGCATTGAATTTGTTAGCACTTTGATTCGTGCCTCTGACTACCTTCTTCTCCATGGCAACAGTGGTTAAGGAGCCAGTGTATTGTAGTATTTTGAGTCATCCACATGCCAAAATAATTTTCTAAATATTTTACAGAAACAAAGTTGAAATAATTAAAAGTAGTGGCCATAGCATAAACCTATAGGATTGTTACATTATCCAGGAGAGTGCAGTGTTTCCACAGTAAGTAACATTGAGAACATTGTTTAAAGACAAGTCGACAGAAGAAAATGTTGCATTGTACTTTTCTGCAAGCCATGGATATGTAACATTTTCATGTCTCATTCCTAGCATAAAAACATTTAATGACATAGTTCAGATTACATGTATATGAGCTGAATTGTCCTCAGGAGGTGGGGGCATTGGCAGATTATGCAAAAATGGGCCCCTGAGCACAGACGTGCAAAAGGCCCCACCACTTCTCCTACACTGAAGTAAGACTTACAGACGTTGTGGTGGTTTAATGTCTCTTTTTGGTCTTTCTGTGTCTCTTTTGGGATGGTTTATTTGAGTGACAATTTTGGCCCCTGGGCCTGTGTCAATAACCCATCCATGGGTGGAGGGATAGCATGTGCTAGCAACTTAGGTGAGACATCTGCCAGGCAGGCCATTAGGTGAGACCAACAAACAACAAAACTGTTTGTTTTGACATAGGCTGCCACATAGGTGGCATTTCCACAACTGTGGCACCAGGGTTTATCTTTTCTAGTGAGAAATCGTAGCATATACAGCCGTGATTGGACTGTTTTCACACACTGTTTGCATATTTTGTAATGCACTATAATTCGTACAAATCATACATATTCATAAACCAGTTATTTGTGTATAATCCACATATTTGGGAAGGCTATGATCATGTGACCAATGCGCTGATGGGAGTAAAGAACAAAGATGGAAGCAGTGGGTGGTAAAACACAAGACCTTCCCCTGGGACTGGTCACTGGTCATTTTAAGGTATGTTGTCATCATTTTTCTTTTCTTAAACCTAACCACAGTAACTTTCCCTGCCTAAAGCTAACCTCCATAACTTTACATTTAGTATGTAACTTTATTTAAAATATGTAATGTCACTCGTGTGGCACTAATTCGAAGGATATCATACAAACCGTTAGGATAAGTTGCCATGATTATGTCCCTAAAGACAGTGTTCTTTAGTGAGACCTGATCTGCTGCATTTACAGCTGCAATTGTGGCACCAAAGCTGGGTGTTTTTAGCCAGACATCAGGGAAATTATAGTGGTGGTTGTGGTGACAAATTTGGATATTGTAAGCCAAAACATGATATTTTGCAAGTCCTAACCAGGTGGTTTTTGTGCTCACACATATTGACATGTTAACCACAGCATTGTTGAAGTATAAAGTTTCAACATATCCGCTACATATAAAATGTACAAATGTTATGTATCCATGGTTTGCAGAAACATACTATGTCAGCTTTTATTCTGGTAATTGTGTTAAATAAAAACTTGAAATGGGAATACGGTATGGGGGAAAAACACTTCTGAAATCAGCAGCGACTCTCACTTCACAATTCTTTTGGCTTTAGGCTACTGCTCTGTTTCTAAACTCTGAGAGAGAAAAAGAAAAGCCTTTTCATAAAACTAAAAAGAACTCTCCAGCTTCTGTGAAATCTAACTCTTACACTGCACGCTCCATCTTTTAAATTCACTTCACTCACAGTCTCTCAAGATGAAAATGAAGGCAAATGAGACAGTGATGTGTGTGACTCAGTGCCTGGAATATATCAAGAGTAGTTGCTTTAATGTGTTTCATTAACTATTGGTGTGTAAGCAAATCAATTTTTTGGCTGTAGTGTATGGAACACTGATCCAAGAGTGACAGAAAAAAACAGTCACTGATGAAGTGATAAATAAAAAGTTGTACTGATGTAAAAATTGTGATCTCCAGTCACCACTTTAAGGCCATTAAAATCAGCCACGCTCCTTGTACATTTTCAGCCTGCAGCTATAATCTAACCAATGGTTTGTGCTCTGAGCTAAAACGCTCCTGGTGGGGGCTCACTGAGGCAGAGCCGCAATCCATCAGCGCAAACTGAGGCGTAATTCAGGTCAACATGCATGTAACAGCCGAGCAGGGAGGGACTCATTAGCTGCAGTGAGACCTCCGCCATAGGTAATACATCACTTTAAGAAATGAAAAATGTCCTCCTATGTATGACCTGCATGTGTGTGTGTGTGTGTGTGTGTGTGTGTGTGTGTGTGTGTGTGTGCGCGTGTGTGTGTAAAGGTCAGAGGGATTAGTTACACCCTGCTCAACAAGACAGTATTAATTGTCACAGGCATGGAAAGCTATTACTTATAAGCCTTTTTTCTTTCATGGCAATAAGAGGGAATTCTTGATGTTAATAAAATGGTAAATATGTCAGCGCTGCGAACAGGAAAGACTTGTATAGTTTAGTTGTTATTGCACACTGAAAAAAGGGGTCGGGAAAGAGAGGAGGATAGATTGAATGAATAAAATAAAGAGTTTCATCATTATTGTAACCAAAGTGATCTCCCGGCAAACTTACGGGAGAGGAAAAACGTATAGAGGTCAGGAGAGAAAAGTGAAGGGAAAGAGAGGAGGGGCTGGTGGAAAGAAGAGAAGGAGATAGAGAAAAGAAGGGAAGAAGGGAAGACAGAAAGAAAAAGAGAGAGACAGATGGGGGATCAGGTTAAGAGGACATTTGCTGAGAGGCAGAGGTAATTTAAATCTGTGAATTGATTGCTGTCCTGTGCTAACAGCAGCAAGCCGTGCACTGACGCAGCCATGACTCTGGAGGGAAGACGACAGGAGGAAAGAGAGAGAGAGAGAGAGAGAGAGAGAGAGAGAGAGAGAGAGAGAGGAAACAGGCTATCTGTTCCTTTGACAGGCCAATTAGGCTGCTCTTTCACGCATGAAGTGAAGCACAAGCCAATAGCAAGTTTTATGGAGGGGGGACACTGGGCTGGTTGACCCAGGGCCCACACTCACCACCAAGGGGCTCCATTAGAAGCCCGTAAGATCACACCCTACTTTACTTCTTTTTAAGTTTACACTCACTACTGTATTCTGTAAGGCAGAAAACATTAGAAAAAGTAAGATGTAATATCATGCAGTGGGCTGTCCATCTGCTGGCTTTGTAGTAGTCCTACAGTGTTGTCTGAGCCCACTGACCTTTCTTTTTCTTCACTGTATTAGTGGTCCTGGTAGTTTTAAATATTTCAAGAATGCTTAATTATCTAATTATTAAGTCTGACATAAATGAGCCAGTTATATAAGTTGTAGAACACATTTTTTCAGGGATGGTTGGTTCCACTGTGCTACAGTGTACAAGGGCCATTGCAAAAGTGGTGTTGTTGAGGGTTAAGGTTTTTTGTTTGTTTGTTTGTGAGTCTTGTTGTGTGTTCTTCTGTCTAATTTTTTCTGAGTCATTGGCAGGTTTGCCAGTATGAAACAGAGATAAATGGACATCTAAAACTGGATATGAACTTGAATTTAGTTAGTTATTTTGAGTTAATGGAATAAGTTATTACCATGGAGTAAAATCTTATTTCTTGATAAATTCAGACGTGTGGTGTGCACTCTCCTGATGTTGTTGGTGCATTGCTGGGTGGATATTTGCCATGCATGGCCTCTTCTATTTTGCTGGTGAACTGGTAGTGAAGGCCAGTAACACTGGGCTAGGTTTGGTGATGCTCATGTGCTGCAGCACCTGTGACTGGCAGACAGATCTCTTTCCCAGTAACAGGAGAGACTCTGAGCAGTACACACAGACTGACAGTCTCTATCATATGACATTATACTGGTATCATATGAGAGAAAATTCCTAAACTCACCGTTGAGTAGCCACAAAAGAACGTATGTTACTATACAATATGATAAATTTACATTGTGATAATGTTGGGTGCGCCATGAGGTGTATATTCAACAACATTATTAGTTACAATAAGAATTTCTTGAAGTGATAGTAGAAATAAGATGCTAGAATGTAGTAATTTTAGCTCATTATCAGTTACTGCCCCACATATGTTGTAAGTCGCTAAGGAGATATTACAGAAATATTATACAGGGCTTATGATGATGACCTGTAAACAAGTGTTGGCATTTTCGGAGATTTCAATACTGTGTTAATGAACAATATTAGTGATTATATTATTCAGTGAACAAACAAAATTAAGTGTTGCAGCGTCAGAAACAAACACTGGATCCGACAGTTCTCATCATGCAACTCTATAGCCTCATTTGTTCAAACCCACCATCACTTGAGTAGCTTCAAACTTTCCAAAGTTCCTCCAGAGCCACAGCAAGTACAGAAAACATAAAAGTGTAATGTAAGTAATGGGGAGGCAAAGCAGAAGGCTACTGTAGCTCAACAGTCACATCCAGTATAATGACTTTAGCCACATTAGCTCAGACTGTGGCTGAGGTTACTTTTAAAGACTTGGCAGAGGCTCATAAAGAAATAAACTGTTCTGCTTTGGTAATTACAGAACCATAAAGATAATTTTCCTGTGGTGTAAATATTACTGGGACTCTGCAGCTTTATACTGGACGCACTGCTGATGACGACTCCTCTATTGTGCAGCATGAAATAGCTGCAAGAGAAAATCGGTAGTGGAGCAGATTAAAAAGTGCAGACAGATGTTCGAGAGATAGTGTTTAGTGATCTCTCCCTATCGACTTACCTCCCTGCTCATCCAACATGACCAGAGTCCTGATGCCGGCATCTTTACTCTAACAGACAGACAGAGAGATGGAAAAACAAAGAGAGTTGGAAAAAGAGGAATAAATGTGACAGATCAGTAAAGGTCAACAGAGCAGAACAGAGAAAAGGACAGTAGGGGTGGGTCAAATTACAATTTGAAATTACTTGTTTTAATGTGGATGAACTTAACTGAAACAATCTGAATAAGACTAGAAACAGGGGGATCAGCTTGACTTAGTTCAATGGTAACAAAAATCCACCTCCTGGTATCTTTCAAGCTAAAATGTAAAAGGGCAACTTGTTGGTTGAGCTTTCAAGGTGCTACTTTGCACATTTCTTTAACCTTTTGACAGAGCTAGGCTGGCTTTTTCACCCTGTTTCCAGTCTTTGTGCTAAGCTAGCGTCATAGCCAGCTGGCTTTAGTTCCATATTTACAGAACAGACATGAGAGTGGTGACAATCTTCTCAAAAAACTCTCAGTGAGACCGCAAGAAAGCATATTTTCCAAAATCTCAAACTATTTCTTTAAACTAAAACAGTCAACCATCATCAGTCAACAAAGAAAGGGGAGGATTTAATTTATTATACAGTATTGGACCCAGGAACAGAGCAAAGTCATGGAAATAAACATACTCATCAGGAGAATCTTATCACAAAAATGTCTTCTACAGACAGTATGCTACTTTTGTGACAGGACTTTTGTGTCCTAAAGTAACATTAGGAGCCAAGCTACACCAAGCCAAAATTACCATATGGCGGTTATATGCCTCTGTGAACCAGTCAAGTTGCAGTTACAGTTTACATCCATCTCTGTCCAGACTCATATGTGGCCATGACACTACAGTGCTTCAAATATGGATGTTTCTGCAAATAAGATACATGTTCTAATATGTAAATGCTTAGCACACATCTTCAATTTGGCAGCACAGAAGATCTATACAATCACAGCACAGCTTCGAGATGTATTCCCAAGATTAGTGTCATCAATTCAGTGTCTGAACAAATGTCTCCCCTTCTGTTCCTGAGTTATGTTGTTGAAAAAAGGCCAGAAAAGTGTTTTTGCAGAACATTATGACCTTTTGGTCAAGTCTAAGTGGACATTTGTGCAAAATTTGAAGAAACTCCCTCAAGATGTTTTTGAGATATTGTGTTCTTGAGAATAGGATGTATGTAAGGACAGACAAACAACCCAAAGAACATAAAGCCTCCAGCCACAGCTGTCGCCAGTGTGAAGGCATAAAAACATAACAGCGATCTGCACAGTGCGACACATCCTTATATAATGGTTTGTATGAATTCATATTAAAAGGTGTGCACCCATTTGTATGATATATTATTAATGCCTCTACCGCTTAGGTTAGGGTTAGGAAAAGAATCATGGTTGGGCATTGTCATGTTACATACTTAATATAAGGTGACAAGGTGATGTGACAAAGTAAAGCTACTCACATGTGTAACTTAAATTGTGACTTTTGGTTTCACATGACACACACACCCTGGCTAGGGATGGGTATCGTTAAGATTTTAACGGTACTACTACTCTTATCGGTACGGCTTATCGATCCGGTATTTTAACGGTACTCTTATCGACACTTTTTGAGGAAGAAAAAAACAAATTAAGAACATAAATTGCTTTATTTTCTCAATTCTCATTATGCAACAAAATAGTTTTTTAACAAAATATTTTACTTTTTACAACTTGAAATGTAAAATACATTAAATAATAGTGTTGTCATGGTACCAAAATTGGGACCCACGGTACAATACCAGTGAAAGTATCACGGTTCTGAGTAGTATCACAATACCACAGCAAAAATTAGGCAGATGTGCCTTTTGTCATTTATAAAAACATAAATCACTTTTCTATAATACATCACTGATATTTCAATGGAATAAATTACTTATTGACTTATTCATACTTCAGAAACAGCATCAATAAGTGATAAACATAGGGGGGATCAAAATAAAATAAATGAATAAATAAAATAAAAATAAACCAGCCACCCTCCTCTCCTGACAAGTAAAAAACAGTCCCTCCATAAGTAAAGAACAGTCCCTAAAGTGAGGTGAGGTTTGTGGACCGTTACCTGCCACAAAGAGAGAAATGTGAACGGCTCGTTTCCCCTCTGACATGTCACATACCTGTGTCGCCACGGCTTGGCCGTTCAGGTACTTCTGGACAGTCATGACGCCAACAAAGAGGACATTATTGGACCTGGAGCCGGGCTTCTTCGTCACCGGTAAGCCATTATCTTGCGCCGCGGAGCACTATGGCCGCCGTATTTGACAGGAATACGTATTCCTGTCTGTGTCTGTGACCCCTGTTCAACCCACAACCAACAGGATTCGCCTGCTGCTGGTTGAAATCTGTACTCGCACAGCGTGCTCCTGAATGATTTCTTTTACTTGCACAAAACTATTTTCAGTCGCAAATGCAGTAAAATGCTCGCACCGTAGAGCTCTCTCGAAAACAAATCACTGTAGCATATATAAATATATATATATATATATATATATATATACAAATCTAGCCTACAAGTAAAAATATTAGGTATTCTAGGTATGTTAGGTATTCTAGGTATTTTATATGGTGATGTAACATTAAACACTATGGATATATAGACGAGAGGGGGGGAAATCCCACGCACCCAGCCCAGGCTAAAATTATGGTTATATTCATGTATTTAGAAGTATCTGAAAAATACACAAATAAAATCCCAAATCTGAAACCCTATTTAGTAAATAGGGTCGCAAAATAGCTAATGGTTATTAACTCCACGTGTTGGCTGCTAGCATAATGTTACAAACATGGACTGGACGTAGATGAACTAGCTGTGCTAGGGCAGTCAAACCCTGTACATCTTTCTGTCTGAATATGATGCACTTTCGCAAGGTGTTTTGACAAATTACTAGTGTTGCCGCCCTTACATGCAAAACATTTGTCACACTTGTGACAACGCGCTGTGTCTGCACCGTTTGGCTCTCTCCGCCATCGTTATCTATCTAAAGGTAGGCTACGAGCTTGAGTTGGTGTATGCACTGTCTTGTGTGTGTGTGTGTGTGCGTGTGTGTGTGTGTGTGTGTGTCACTGGAACAACAGCTCCGCCCCCCTCCTCTCCACTCACACACAGCAGGCAGCCAAGGTGAGCGAGACAGATCTTTCATCTTCAGGGAGAATAGCCAAAATTATGATACAATGACGGATAATTGACGGAGTTGGTGAGATAAATGTGCAAGATAAGGTTTATCTTGTAAAACAAAAAACGCGACTGCTCCAGTACGGATAGCAGAACCGTCAGAGGTCAGGTCAGAGCTTATCAATACTGCGGTCTTGAAGAATGTAGCCCCGGGGCTCGTTCAATACCGGGTTTGGTACCCATCCCTAACCCTGGCCTCCTGGGTCAAAGTCCTGTGTTTATTTGACCCACACACAACTTCAAATGCCTCCATTGCCAGACTTTGACACTGTTTATACTACATGACCTGGCTTTCTTCTTTGGTCCCATCAAATGAGGGAGGACAGTTTGCAGCACATAGGTCATGTGAGCCTCCTTGCTCATGATTAGTAGAGTTATATACAAATTACAGTGCATTACTTTTCGTAAAAGTATGAACGGTGAATGAGAACAGCCTGCACAGTATCAGTGGTACATGAAAGGTGGGCAAACCAGGTAGCGCCAGGGTCAGGAGACCATTTTGGACTGCCCGTCGAGTTTATTTAGAAAAATGTTATTTAGAATTATCCCTCATATAGAGAGAGACTAACACACTAACTGACAGAAAACAAAATCACAAACCTCTAAAAACCCTACAGAAAAGCCACACATATACTCATACAAGACCCTGCACAGATTTCTGTGATAAACTCTTCCACCAAATGGCATGTGCTATATTTGTTATGTTCACTGGGCTTGTACCAGAGATTTGTTGACAAAGCTCCAACAATGTAACATTCTGATTATGCTTACAAAGTTGGCACAAGCTTAAACAACCACGAACATGAACATTCATGCTGACTGGTACACTGTTATTTCTCTGTGCATGCACCGCCTGGGCTTTGTCACATAATAACACTTCAGGAAGCACACAATAACCACATTAACCACTGTGCATACAACAAAACAACAGCTTTGTGCTCTCCATGAGCCCGAGGCTTCCTCTGACAGATATTAAAAACCAAAGGCCGTTCAGTTCATGCATCAGCTATTTTGGATCAAAGTGTGCTCTGACCTTCTTGGAGCAGTGATAGATAGAGACCAGTGCTGGAGGCCAGCTAGACATGCCACTGATATTAGTATCAATCAAATGGACTGCGACAGAGATCTGCGAGTGGCCATCAGTGTGGACTTAACTTGTTGTTGGTCAATGTTTTCTCTGGAAACATCATGTAAGAGGGAGGAAAGCAGTATGTTTACAGGAGATTTGTGGACAAATAAATCCTAATTACATAATCCTCAGTCAGAAACTTCAGCAGAGCTAATGTTTACACATACATGTGCTTTAATACAGTTGAAAAACTGCTTGTTTATCCACCAGGAATCATAGGAAATCACACATATACAAGGGCAGACGTGTCTTCTGAACTACGGGACGGGATATCTGACCACGCCAACTGGCACAGCCTAAGGTAATGACATCACATCTTTCTGGACGCACACACACATGCACACAGACTACCAGGTCTTTTTTACACTTTGCTTTACAGTGAGTCACTGAGATTTTTTTTAATCGCTTCTCCCTAAATAATTTTCTGCCCAGGAAGTGAACATGGAAGGTGGTGACAACCTTTCAAGAGATTAATAGAGATGAATATTTTAAACCCATCTTTCTTTCTTTCTTTGTTCTTCAGCGCAGCAGCAGAGCTGACATAAAGCAGTCCTTTGATATGAGTTTTAATCACATTTAGTAGGTTTATAAGGAAGTAATGCTATCCTTCATTTTTTCTTAGTGTTCTGGCCTAAAACCTATAAATAAAGGTGTTACTGAAAGACTGAGAGTGGTGTCTGTATCAGTTACAATCCTTAAAGGA